CTGTGCCGACGGACCTCGGAGCTGATCCTGTAGGTGCTCCAGGCTGAGCGTCACCGAGCTATCGGGTGGGCGGTAGATGACGCCCGCCGCAGTCAGCCGCTCACCTCGCCATAAAGCTGGGACCCGAGAGTTTTCCAGAGGTCCGTCCGCTGGAAAGGCGAGTTGCTTGAGCTGGCTTGGTTCGTGACGTCAAAAGTAAGGAAGGGAAGGAACCCGCAAGTAAGGGATGGACTTCCATTGGCTTATGAAGAGCGGGGGTTCCGGTAGTGCCACGAGCACGCTCAGAGGCGCAGGCGGCACCTGCACGAGAACGCGGTTGTATGCCAGTCAGAGGTGGCATCCAAGTGGCGGTGAGGTCGTCGGAGGCACCGTCGGAGGCACCGTCGGACCCCATTACTGTCGATGTGATGTCGTCGCTGCTGCAAGCGCTGCCCGGCGCGGATGCCCCGTCGCCTTCCTCGGCCAGCCCGAGACGTCTGCCTTTTCTCAGCTGCTGTGTGGCGGCTGGATGGGTGCGCTCCATGCGATGCACGGCCGCCCTGCTGCTCCGGGGTCCGGCGCCGCCTCTGTACAGCAGCCAGGCCGGCTGCAGCCAAAGCGGCCACTCGTCTTGACCTGACAGCAAGTCTAGAAGAAAGCGATAAACTGTGGGCGGCCGCGCTGATTGGTGGAGGTCACCGCCATACCACTTCTTGAAGCGGTAGAGGCCGGAGCCCTGAGCCGCGACGCCGGGCACATGGCGCTTGAGGGCATCGAGACGGCGAGCGGCGACAAAACAAACCACTGATACAAGCCACGGAGGTAAAAGTCGCGGCATAAAAAGTTGCTGGCTAGACTGGCTCGATGATGCATGGCTCGGCTCCTGGACACTTATATAACCCCTGTCACTCAGGACTGCCACAATGACCGTCGGATGTAGTGGCCGTCATATTCAGGCGCTATCGAAAGACCGAGAGGAGTGACGATGTGCCCGACTTAGAAGCGATGTCACGTGCGTTGCGTAATGTTTTGCGTTGGAAGTTTTGTCACGTAGAAGTGATGAAGTGCAAAAGTTTTTGTGTTGGGTGTGTCGCGTAGAAATTTCTGCATGAGAAGTTGTTTCATTAGAATTCATGGCGTACAAAATGTTTGTGTTTTAATTTGAGCCGAGGAGAAGTATTTGCATCAGAAGTCATGTCGTGGGATTTCAATCACTACCAGTAATTGCGTTAGAAGTGAAGTCGTTAAATGAGACAATACCAACGACCTTATTACCCGCAGAATAACCAAGGAAGTGGAGACCTAGATGAACTGATGCTCCGGCTTCATACCTTTATCAAAGCGAATGTCACTAGTTAACTCAAAATTTGCGTTATTTTGATTTAACTACTGATATTCGTTTTGATAAAGGCATGTGGCCGAAATATAAATCCATCTATCTCTTCACTCTTCTGATTATTCTACCAGGAATAAGGCTATTAGCATTATCTGATATCTGTGCATGTTGTTCCTCGCAGATGCACTTAACAATTTACGTAGTTCAGTCATAAGCAGCAGTTGTGTTAGAAGTTGTGTCGTGTAATCGTCCAAGACCCGGTGTTGAATATCACAACATTGGGACTCAGCTAAGCGAAATTGTTCAATGGAAACAACACAAGCCTGTGCCATGTTACTTCGACCGATCTCGACAAAACAGTGCGTGTTTTCACAATACTTTGGCTATAGTCATCAAAAAAGTAAATCGTTCCAAGTTCATCGTCCTCACCGATGGAAAAGACCAGGCTGTACTGGGACTAAAGCTATAAAATTTTCCAAGATCATTTTTACTGTGCGTATGAACGCTGTGTATGAATGAGCCTATTCCAATATCCCTGTTTCAATCCTAAACAATATATTTCGGTGCGTTGAAAGGGCCCACTTGGGTGTGTTTCCAAGGGCTCTGTTGCTTCTGTTTTTGGCATCACATACAGAAGGATGGTACTCAGCACTTTGGCAGTCCCGCGCCAGGGGTCACCTGACTATTGGGATCGGTCGCCAGTTGTTTGAAACACTCAAAACTATGGTTTATGTTTCCGATACTTCACTTTAATACCTCACACTTGGGACGTGGCGCCGATTCATTGAAACACTCAAAATTATGGTTGATGTGTATGACTGCATAAGTTAGTACACTACTGACAAATACGGCGTTAAACACAGGAATTTTGCTTTTTAGAATCGGTTGGGGCTGAACAATGAAGCTGACCTAGCCTTCCATCAAATCCTGCTTTCTGTATAGATTTTGGCCGCTTTGAGTTGCGTCTCTGATGTCGAAATTGAAATTAAAACAGAAGTGCCTGGTCGGTTCAGAAATTGAATGTAGGGAATGGCCTCCCGTTTGAGGCTGATGTAGTATTGACAATGCCAATTTGAGGTGTCCATACTATAGACAGTGATGGGTTTGGACCTAGTGTGCTAATAGTCCAGACGCATGCAACATTGCATTGGGCCAGCATTCCCTTTCTTACTGATTTGCATTGCTTGGAAGGGGGGGGGGGCTAAAAGAGAATTGAGGGGGCTCAGGTCACCCTTGGAGGGGGCCCAGGCCCCCCCGAAATGCACAAAGCTATACCCCTGGCTGAACCATTAACAACAATGTGATTCTCGAGCGTTTTGCAAGTGTCGCAATAAGACTGCGCCTGTGCGTGGATACAGTTACCAGCTGTTGGTCATATGTTTTTTGCTCAAATGACGCTTGACGCAACTTACTCGCTTGGCAAATAACATGGAAAAACCGCTTTTATGTGCGTACATCTCCTCACCGCCAGCGGGCTACTACTGAGCAATTAGTGTACCTACCGAACAATTAACGGAACTATTTAGCAATTGATGCAACTGCTGAGCAATTAGTGTACCTACCGAACAATTAACGGAACTATTTAGCAATTGATGCAACTGCTGAGCAGTTAGTGTACCTACCGAACAATTAACGGAACTATTTAGCAATTGATGCAACTGCTGAGCAATTAGTGTACCTACCGAACAATTAACGGAACTATTAAGCAATTGATGCAACTGCTGAGCAGTTAGTGTACCTACCGAACAATTAACGGAACTATTTAGCAATTGATGCAACTGCTGAGCAATTAGTGTACCTACCGAACAATTAACGGAACTATTTAGCAATTGATGCAACTGCTGAGCAGTTAGTGTACCTACCGAGCAATTAACGGAACTATTTAGCAATTGATGCAACTGCTGAGCAATTAGTGTACCTACCGAACAATTAACGGAACTATTTAGCAATTGATGCAACTGCTGAGCAGTTAGTGTACCTACCGGCAATTAACGGAACTATTTAGCAATTGATGCAACTGCTGAGCAATTAGTGTACCTACCGAACAATTAACGGAACTATTTAGCAATTGATGCAACTGCTGAGCAATTAGTGTACCTACCGAACAATTAACGGAACTATTTAGCAATTGATGCAACTGCTGAGCAATTAGTGTACCTACCGAACAATTAACGGAACTATTTAGCAATTGATGCAACTGCTGAGCAATTAGTGTACCTACCGAACAATTAACGGAACTATTTAGCAATTGATGCAACTGCTGAGCAATTAGTGTACCTACCGAACAATTAACGGAACTATTTAGCAATTGATGCAACTGCTGAGCAGTTAGTGTACCTACCGAGCAATTAACGGAACTATTTAGCAATTGATGCAACTGCTGAGCAATTAGTGTACCTACCGAACAATTAACGGAACTATTTAGCAATTGATGCAACTGCTGAGCAGTTAGTGTACCTACCGAGCAATTAACGGAACTATTTAGCAATTGATGCAACTGCTGAGCAAGTAACGTAGTTACTGAGCAATTAGTGTAACTAGTAGGGAATTAATGTAACTAATGAGCAATTCGTGTAACTTATGAACAATTAGCATAGCTACTGATCAATTAGCGTGCCTTTTTAGCAATTAATGTAGTTTCTGAGCAATCAGTGTAACTATTGAGCGATTAGCGTACCTTTTTAACAGTTAATGTAACTACTAAGCAATTGACTTAACCACAGAACAACTGTCGTAATTATTTGAAATTAAGGTAACCACTGAGCAATTAGCTTGTCTATTGAGTGCTTCACGTAACCACTGAGCAAATAGCGTGCCTATTGAGTACTTCACCGTAACTGCTGAGCAGTTAGTGTGACTTTTGCCCAGAAAGCGTAATTACTGAGCAATTAGCGTGGGGATGCTGAATGTTCGGCCGGTACACGTGCTGGTCGTTTCCCGCGAGTGACCCCCCCCCCCCCCCCTCCGACAGCGATCAGCCAGTGCACAGGAGGACAGAAGTGCTACTCCTCGGTACGAGTGCCAAAGCAGAATATTAAGATAGCCGGAGCGAAGTCCAACGCGGATTGCTATTGCAAGTGCTACAAGAAGGGCTACTATTTTGCAGGATGGGTCGCTGCATCGTGAGTTTCCGACAGGGCCAGGGTGATCTCCACAGAGCAGTGAGTTATTGACAGGGCCAGGGCGATCTGAACAGAGCGGTGAGTTTCCGTCAGGACAAGAGATGGCCTCGTGAGAGGCCGACTGGTGACGGGAGGTTCCCGGGAGAAGCCCTCCATTCCAGGCGTGCCGTGCGGTCTGCTAACACGGAATTTGTTGAAGATTTTATCCGAAACTTTGAATACATGGATTTCTGGGATCAGAGCTCACGCTAAGCAGTGCTTGTTGTGTGAGCCCTGGCCCCTTTCACCCGATCGCGCAATTCCATGTCAACGGCAGAATTTGCTGGCGAAAGCTTAACGTGCCGCAATGCTCGGCACGGTCCGCCCTGCCCTTTGACGTCAACTGACCTTCAACGCGACCGCTGCCACTGGCCACCGGGACGGGATCAGCAGTGATGATGAATGACCTCAGGTCAGGTCATATCTTGACGAAATAGCATCGGATGAAATAGCATCGGATCACCTTTGTTTACATCTTGAAAAGAGAAGCGTTTTCGCCGACGCTGGGCAGAATACTGCAGGCATATTCAATGATTTTGTTGATCCGGCCTATATGCACTTAAATGCTATCTAAACTAGCGAGGAAAAAGAGGGTAAGGCCTAAAAGTAATACCAGAATATGGGCAAAACCTGCGGAGAAAATTAGAATGACCAATCTGCACATTTTCTGTGATTTTTTGTTACATAATTTCGGTCTCTTCTGTCGCGATCCGCCGTTTATTTATCCTGCACGTTAGTAGCATATTCAAAGCGATGGTGGTGTAGTAGTTCGTGCTCGTCTCTAGACTTTGCGGTCCTGGGCTCAGGTGCCGGCCACACCACCATCACAACCCACATGACACCTAATGAAGGCATCCTTGTTTGAAATGACCCTGCCAGTCGGTGAAACGTAAAGCCTTAATTGTTGGCATCGCAACATATTCGTAGTACGTACAAAATGGTAGCATAGTCCCACCAACGTATCTCGTAGGTACACGCAAAGCTAAAACAATGCATTTTACATACCACAGTGCTGTCCTCAACCAATTCGACAAATAATTATGCAATCAAGCTGTTTGCGTTTTGTGATAAAATGCATTCGAAGACATGTTTTGTGATAACGTGCATTCGAAGACATGTTTTGTGATAATTGTTTCACCGTTTGCAATCACGTGATACGATCTGCCCATTTTCAGCAAGCAGTGCAACTGCTTCAACGTCAAGATCAAGGGCTTGCCGACTGTCCCTTGCAGCGGAGCAAAATGGGCGGTTCAGTTAAAATCGAGCTTGAAGAAGAGCTCTTGCTGTAAGTCTTTATATTTTTTGATATGTTTGGCGGCTATCGGATTGGATTTCTGTAATGCGGCCGCAACATTCCGTTGGATTGAGTAGTATTTGCCGATCATTTATGATAGTATCGACATATTGCGCGCAAGGTGACCATGCCATGCCCTATGTGGCAACAAAACCCGCCTCACGATTTCTGCTAAATACCATGTATGCCCTCTCTGCTAGCACCTGCTGACCTAAGGCGATGATTCACGCCACGTTTGATAAGTACTCGCTGCTATGTGAAAACAGACCACTCTGCCGCACTAGACGCGCAAGAGCCGAGCCGCCGTGTGCGGACGTCGGTCTGTGAACCGAACCTCTCACGGTGACCAACTAGCCACCGACCGCTGACGAGTGCGCTTGCCCCGCAGGTACGGCAGCCGCTCAGCCATCCCCGTCCGGTAAGAGTGCTCCTCATGGTGTGCACTGTCACTGTGCGCGCCGGGAACGCTGACGGAAGACGCATCGGGGAATGAGTAGGAAAACATAATGTTGTGACCTGCTGCTGAGGGTGGTGTCGGTAGGCGTTGACGGGAAATCAGGGGCAGTTAAGACGAAAATACCAGGTTATTTTTCAAGTGTGGCATATGGATCATGTTGCAAGGGTTTTTGAGTATTCAGTGCCCATTGCTGTGAGCATGCGTGCTGCCATACTGTCACAAAGGTAGCGTGCCAGCCTCCCCTTTTTGATCGCGTCTCAGGAAAGTGATAAGCCATCCGTTTGTCGCTACTATGTTTCTTTTATCCTCTATCCAGAACAGCAGCACCACTCAGTGGTCACACCTAACAAAAAGTTGATAGTTCTTGGTCGTGGCTTAGTCAGCTTGTTGCCTCGTATAATATCCTGTTCCTTTGCATAAAACTGTGTACACTTGAAGAAAATCTTTAATGACTGTGAGCCGCATGCCATGCAATTTTTCAGTCGCGGCTCTGGGATCTCAGGCATTGAAGAAAGTCCCGCCGGCGACGGGTAAAGCTTGCTTTCTAGATTCCCCTTAGATCTTCGCATACGCAGATATGTGCATTTACAAAGCAATATTTACAGTAGATTGTGCCAGTAGACATCATCTTCAGCAAGCCTTCCTGTCTACCAGCCGCTGATATGCTACAAAGTTAGCACAAACAATTTCTGTCCATGGAGTTTTTAAATCGTGGCCATCTTCTTTCCGCCAGGAGAGCTACCCGCACTACCACGAGCGACAAGACGATAATGTTTAAGTGTGGATAATTCATACGACATAACGCTAACATAACAGGAACATTAGCCATATGTCTCGTGGTAGATAAACATTAGAATGGGAAAAAAACAGGTCAAACGTTTCGCCGTTTCTAATTTCTCAGTGCTGGTTTTTATGATTACTCTAAAAGGCTGTCACTAATAAGGCTGTGACGGTGAAATGATTATTTCATCCTTTTGCCTATTTCAATATATACCATGCTACATATGGCCATTGTTCCCTCCATAATCACGATGTCAACCCACGGCTTTGTGTTCAATCAAATTCCACACAGCACTGGTAACATTATATATTTCGCGTAAGCCAAGGTCGCAAATGGTGCTTGAAGGCCCGCCACCAAAGTCCCTGCCTAGTAAAAAGAGCTGCGTATCGCATCCAAGAGCTCAATGGAATTTGCTGTCGTGGCCACCGAGGTCATATGAGGTCATATGAGAGAGAGAGAGAGAGAGAGAGAGAGAGAGGGAGAGAGAGAGATATATGTATATATTATATGTTTTATATATTATATATTATATATATATATATATATATATATATATATATATATATATATATATGAGGTCGGGGCCAGGCCAAAGCCCTGCGAGAGCTGTTTGCCTCCTGAACGCGATCCG